CTGAACTAATAATGACCTTACATTCCAACGCATAAGCAGTTACAGCACTTAAATCCCACCCCAACTATACTACAGCTTGCCTCTGCTGCCTTGAATGAGCTGTGAATCATCAAGTCAATCTTCCTTTTCCACCAAGAGTAACGATCTAGGGAAAGGAAGGGAAATGAGAAAAGCTTAAAAGATTTCCCAGAGTGTGGATCAAGGTGTAAGCAGGAGTTTTTAAAGAGAACATTCATATTAAGTGGTGCATTTGTAAGGAAAAGCAGAAAGTTGCAGTTTTTGTTACTTGTCTATAAACAGAGAGCTTAAGTAGACAATAAGAAAGCTATCCTGAGATAGAAAACTTAGAAGCAATCAGAAGTTCGGGGGGAAAAAAAGGAAAAGAAAAAAATTAAGCTTTCAGAAGAGTTAAGGCCATTTTGGCTGAGCTCCAATTCACAAATTCAGTACAAATCTATAAAACCCTTCTAAGCAAATCTGAGAATCTGAGAGGAACAGTTCTAAAAGGGGCTATTTTTGTGTACCTATCAATTTCCATTCAAATCAATGTGAGTTTCTAATACATGGAGGACTGCATGCCATTGTAGTTCTAGTCCAGGGTCCAAAAGTCTATCTAATGATAATCACTTTCAGAGCTCAATCACTGTCACTACTTGTCAGATTTCATATTTCACGGTTTCCATATCAAAATGACGTTTTGAGAGTAGGACACAATAATTGAATTTGAGAATTAAAAGAAATGTTAAAACATGCTTTCTTACCCAAAGTATTTTACAAAACAGAGAAAAGAAAAAGTATTCCCTTAGAGGTCCCAGGTTTGTGAGAGAAGAAACAGAATGGAAAGAATATTAAAAAGAAACCAAGCCACAGCGATGACTGCTGAAGGAAGAGAAAAAAAGAAGAGGGCACTCATCTCTAAAAGGTAACTGGGGAATGCTACTGGAGACATAGTCTCATTAATAAAAAGAAAAGATCAGGGATTTGAAAACTTCACTCGTCAAGTGGCACAAATATACTAAAATATTGTTCTACTCTTCTCTGAAAAAATCTAAATGGAAGAAACTGAAAAAAAGTACCTTTCTTATTAAAAAAAAACCCCTGATTTTTATGAAGACTCTAATAAGAATCTTGCATTTGAAAGGGACCTTAGAGATAGTAGAATCCAACATACCTCTTTGAAAAGATAAAGATACTTAATCCCAGAGGTGTGAGTCACTTGCTTGCTGTCATTTAGCAAAAGAACTTTAATCCAAATTTCCCAGGCCGGAGTCCTTTCTATTATACTTTGCAACCTTGAAATTAGGAGAGTGGGGATAAGAATTGTACTCTTGCCTAGGAGAACTAGGAGAGGGAAAATGCCATATGAAACATCCATGGAGAGTTAAGCAGTTGTTTGTCATGCTTAATACATGGTGACAGACTCAACAAATTGAGTCCTCTCTTCCTTTCATGTCCTACATAGGAGTTAACAAATTTTGTGTACTCAATACATATTAAGCCTTCAACTGCTTCAAAGTGCAACAAGACCTTAAACATATTTCTAAAGCCCCCAGCACCAACGAATTTGTAGTTTTATAAATATCATGGTGAACAAGAAATGCTGTCTTGTCACATTCAAGCCAAATAACAGCTGGACTTTAAAAATAAAATTTTGAAGGCATTTGCCTTTTATATTTTTAATTTCTGTTTTCCTGGATTATGGTTTTGTCATTTGATTTTGATGAGTGGTTAATATACATGCACAGCTGCCTCTTTTGGTGACCTTTCCCTTGCTGCCTCCATGCTCAGAGCTACGAAGCAGGTCTATAAGTTGCTTACTAAGTGATATTGGCATTTTCATGACTGGCAGACATTTTCCTGGGTGGCCTGGCCTCATCTCCTAGGTTGATTTTTTTAAGTCATTTCAGAAGCCACAGGAGGGTAGACTGGAAGTAAAAGGAGGGCAAAGCCCCTTAAAATTGCTGTTGTGCATTATTCACAATAGCCAAGACATGGAAACAACCTGAATGTTCGACACCAATGGATGAATGGATAAAGAGATAATCTATTCAATGGAAATATTATTTGGGAATATAAAAATTCTGCCATTTGCAACCATATGGATAGAGCTCAAAGGCATTGTGCTAAGTAAAATAAGTCAGAGAAAGAAATACTATATGATCTCCTTAAATGTGGAATCTAAAAAGGAGAACTCATAGAAACAGAGAGTAGAATGGTGGTTACCAGGGACAGCTGTGTTTGCATTTCATTTATAATCAGTCTTCCTTTACTAGACTTTAAACTCCAAGGGCCAGGAGCATATTTATTTTGCTTCCCCTGGTTTATCCAATGTCTAATTCAGATACTGACACACAGTAGGCGCTCAAGAAATATTTGCTAGTTAGTTTGTTTAGACCACAGACCAACTGTAAAGTCTTCACAGTTAAGTTCTTCTCTGAAGGAGTGAATACAATTTCAAATTATTTTTTATTTCAGTAGCTTCTTCATCTTACCATTAAGGGAAATATGAAAGCACCCAGTAGAGAAAGTATTATGTGTACCTATTATCTATTCTGACTTTAATATGAACTGTAACTCCAGCAGGCTTTGCAATCAGCTCACACTTGAGCAGATGCCAGGAAATAGCCTGAAGTCAGCAGAAGGCCGCTACCCATCCCAGCCGTCCTCACAAAGGCACTGGCTTCTGTGGATTTTAGAGCAGGTAACTTGACTCCATTCATGAACTCACAGTCCCCCAAAAGCACATGAGGTCTCAATGGCAACTCTGGGCAAGCTTCTGAAGGAAGGCTTTCACACGCTCCTTAAGCTCCTGGGCCACTATAACCCTTCTACTATTACACTCATCAGGCATTGCTGCTATGTGTGACAGAGAAACACGAGCGCTGGTAGATGGCATGACTTGCTATATTTAGGGGAAAGGAAATGGGCCATACTGAAGAAGGTCACAGGAGTTTGTTCAGAAAAATGAAGGCACCACAGATTTGTCCATGTACACAGGGGCTACAACACAGTCCTTAAGAACTTAGGTTCTGGAACCAGCCTGCCTGGGATCAACTCTCAACTGTACTCTTGCTAGCTATGTAACCTGTCACAAGCTACTTAATGGCTCTCAGCCTTCATTTTATTATCTGTAAAATGGAAAAAAAATACCTTCTTTACAAAGTTGTTTAAATTGTTGAAATGAAAAAAAAATGGGTGTCAAAAACTTAGTATATTCTGTGGCAAAGAAGTGCTTGATATATGTTTGTCCACAAAGCAAAGTAACCAGGAAATTAGTTTGACTTCAGATACTCTGGATACTAAATGGAATTTCCAAAGGTATTTCTATACAATATGTTTTTCTACAGTTAAGCTTTTTTATATTTTCCTTTTGCAATGGCTAATAACTATGATCATGGCTTTTAACTTTCCAAGCACATTATATCATTAACCACATTATTAGCATTTCTGGGAGGCAAGTGACTGTTTTATAGCCACTATATAGTTAAGAAACCAAATGAAGAAGGATGAGAGACAGATTAAGAAAACCCAACTAATACAAGGATAAGGTGTAACTTGTAGTCTGTGGGGAAAATGAAGAGACTGAATACTCCACAGCGATGAGACATTGCATTTCATGGTTTATGGTCAAAGTTTTAGATACTCTACAGTACAGTCTTCCAACAAAATTGAGATGGGTGAGGTCTGCATAAAGTACCTCCATCCTCACCAGTGGAAAAACCAGTACTTCTAAGGGCCTGTACAAATATCACTGTCAATATGTCTTCTGCACACATTCTTCATGTGTATAGAGTATATTTCTGGTTTTGAGTCTTATCCCCCCCTGATTCCTTCTCTGTCTCCCTCTAGCTCTTTCTCTCTCCTCCCTTCTCCTCCTTTCCTTCCTCCTGCTCCTGTCCCAATAAGAATATATTTTAACACCTTGTTCTCGGCACAATCATTAAGCATTAGTCTCTTGCATCAGTATGAAAATTCTGCCTTTTGGAAACTCTCTGAAGTGCTTCCTAGTGGCTGATACACCCATCTCTTACTGCTCGTGCCTGGGTTTTCTGAACTGCCCAAGCAATCATTAGAACCCAGGAGCAGTTCAGATGCTGCTATGAAATGTCTTCATGTGTTTTCAAGGATTTAGAGTTCTGGAAGAAAATCTGCCAGCGAAAGGGATAATAGTAAGATTTTCCCCTCCAGCAAAAGAAGGACCTTAGCTGGGACCCAACATGGGTGAAGTATTGTGTTACTCTGAAGAGAACAAATTAATCTTCCCTGACTGGTGGGAGGGATTCTGCCAAAGGAACAGCTAACGGGAAAACCAGTCCCTACTCTGTGATGACACAGTAAATAACCAGGCAACATTACTACTGAAGTGCTGACCTAACTCATAAATTGTACCCAGCCTCTGGGGAGCAATTTCTGCTGATTTGCTGCTTGTGCATTTAAAACAAACAAACAAAAAGGGAAGAGGAGCAGACAGGCATTGATAGTGCTGTGGGTAAACACACTGAGAGTGAAGCTGGTCTTTCAAAAGACTTCAGTAATGGTAAGTGCCCAGACACAGCCTGGGCCTTGCCCAAGAAATCATTAATTTTATGCTAAATCTGCAGTAAACCATAATTTAATCCCCCAAATGGTGTGATCTAAGAATCACTTGAAGTTTTAAAAATATGCCCTTTTGTATGTTTGTCCTTCTTGAACAAGAATGCAGTGAGGTGGGTAAAACAGAGAATTTTGTTGTTCATCAGAATGCACAGGGATTTTTTAATTTTAAAACTTAGAAATGGGGTCTTGAAGTACGTATACTGCTATGTGTTCAGGAACACAGGATTTAGCTGCTTCTCAAAGTCCTTAACCATAGTTTATAATGAAGACTAACATTTCCTGTACTTTGCAAAGAAAATCAATCTGATGGTTCTTAAAAAAGACCATAAAGATTCTATATCTAACTCAGACACAGCTTCAAAACACACAGTGAGGCAGAAAAGAGGCACAGAAAGGCCACTCACCCTCTGCATCTTCTGGCCGAGTAAGGTCGATGACACCTGGGCCCAGCTTTCCATCTTCACTTGATTTTCCTGTTAACTGGGGCCCCAAATTCTCAAAGCGTGTTCTTTCCTACAGAAAAGAATAAACAGAGGCTTATTCTAGCTTCCAAAGTAGCCATTTCTTCCTCCCAGCTTCTGTGGTGCATAATGGGCAAAACTTAAATTCAGACATCATTTGTGACCAACTAGGGCTCAGAAAATCTTTCAGGAAGATTCTGCTGAAGCCCTATTGTGGGCACTGACAGTGCTGACAGCACCTAAACCACAGCATCTGTAAGGAAAAGAAACCCGTGACACAAACCTGCCAGGGCTTCTGCCTGTTGGATTTGATCCAATCATCTAAGTGTCATACAACTGAGAAGTTTTAACCAAATGTGCAAACCTAGAAAGGTAGTTGCCATTTAAATATATTGCCAACTTTAATGGGAGAAGAGTTTTCCCATTTAGAGATCACGATTTGCATTGTTATTCCTGGGAAAACACGTCAGAATTTTATGCAAGAGGATTTCATAAACAAGTATTTCAAAGCAGGAAGGCTATAGGATGACATTGATATTATTATTTTGCCTAAAAGTTTCCACTGTAACTTTCTAGGAAGTGAAAAGGTAAAAATTACTTCTGGCCAGCCATCAAATCAGGAAAGTTAAGTACCCCTGCTGATATAGGAGGGAAACCCAAAGATATTTGACTTATTCACCAGTTCTTCTAGGAGCAGGAGTCTGAATCATCCCCATGAACTCTCCCTCCGCAGCTCAGGATCAGTAGCAGAAGGCCCACTGACCATCATTAATAAGTGTTCTTGTCTGCAGAACCACATAGCCTGTCTCCTTCTTGCCTCCTTGCTACTCTCCAGACTCAAACTTGGCTTTGTATTGTGCCTATGAATGAATGAAACCTTGTTGTTCATTACTATGAAACAATATTAAATGTCATGTCAGCTTGAATTTACAGACATGAAATAGCAGCTTCCAGCTTCGGGAATGGTTTCTGCATGTTATACTTAATGCATTATGCAGCAGCAGAGTGCTGATTGCTGTTCAGTCTATTGTTCAATGACCTAGTTCTGTACTGAGCATGTTCGGCATTAGATGGAAATACTCTCAGTGTTCTCTTCTGTAAGATGTTTAGAAACTTGGAAATATTCTTAAAGAGCAAACATACAATTACTTGATAGAGGCTGTGTCTCATTTGTACAGTCTCACTACATTTGTGCTTTCCAATATGATTATTTTTGAATATCATTATATTTCTATAATTAATTCCCATCAGTCAAATTGTGCAGGAAGTCTTCTAGTTCCCCTTCATCATGGAATATGTTGAAATCGTGTTGGAAGAAAATACAGCATAAACCTTGCTTTAATCTAGCACCATTCTATGAAAGATTTGCAACAAAATTATAATCATGAATTCCCCTGACTGGGTAATACCAAATAGTTACCATAATGGTATGTGAGGAAACCTCTGAAATATGACACTTATAAAAAACAGAATGGAAATAAAAAGCAAATTAGGTATGGTTCCCCAATATCGTCTTATGTGAAAACACTGCTGCACGAGAACAAATTAACCCAGATGCAGGCCACAACATTGAAAAGCAACCACAAGCCATGTGGGAGTTTCACACATGGGGCGGGGTTGTGGGGGGGACAGCTGCTTTTAATCAAACAATTTCTATTTTTGAGTAGCACTTTTGGTTGTCATGATGTAAAGAAAAGGAATTAAAGTAAAGATGAGTAGTACAGGGAAAGCAAAATATTCAACCTTTGTTTTTATCACATTGTTTCGCCTTTCAAATATTTGCATGTGAATACATTCCCTATGTTAAATGCAAAAGGAGTTTTGATGTGACACCTGCAATCTTCTTGGAAGAGCAACCTTTAACTGTATTTTCATGGGGGGAAAAACAACTTTCTCTGAAAATCAACAGACCGTGTTACCTATCAATATGCATATTTCAAGTATCTTTCTAGTCATTCATTCTCTTTGATTTTACCGGAAAATATTCTCAGTAAAAAAAAAAAAGTTCCTGAAAGAATATCAATATTTTGACAAGGAAGGAGAAGAGGGAAAATTACATGCCATGGTTTGTAAAATCCTAAGACAACAAAGCTTACATGATGATAATATCTTTTCTTTTATAAAAGATGAAGTGCACTCACAATTCAGTAGTATCAGCTTGTTTTTAATCATAACAAAAAACATTCAGAACATTCAACAACACATTCACAGTGTCTTTGAAGTCATACATTTTTTTGACTTCATTGAAAAAAAATCCTTCTGCAGAGATACTTTCCTTATAAAATATCAATATTTTGACAGAGTAGAAGTCAGGGAAGAATATCCTACGAAAGAAACACTTGCTAAATAGGCAGAAATAAATCCAAGGATATAAATTGTTTTGGGTAGTACATTTTGGATTTGGTAATATGAAGCACTTGTGTTTGAGATTAAAGATGGACCCTGCAAAATCATGCCCTTTCATATGAATTTTCTACCTAGTCTCCCAGAAGATTTCCTTCTTCTCTTCAAAGAATAGCTCAGAATATTTATTTCCCAGCCACATAACCATAAGATAAGAGGGCCTGATGTCTACAAGTCAGATCTGGGCAGCTGAGCTAAGCAAAGATTTTACCAGTGAGGTTCAACACGGGCTGCATAAACACAGGATGTGGACAGGGGCTTAAAGAGAAGTTCAAAGACACTTTAGTTCCAAAAGACTTCAACTTCTGGCCATTGAGTGTCAACGGGTATGCCCCTGTATGTAACAAATACAGACTGTGGGTGGTGGCAAGGTCTTAACTCAAAATGTTTCCACTTACTTGAGCTAGCTCTTCCAAAATACATAGCTCCCAAGTAAGATATATTGGAACAAAATATCTCAACCATAGCCTGATCTCAACACCCCCTTCAAGAAAATTTCCCCATCTACATGTTGACAGTGAAATGTTTATTTTACATGCAGTGATGTGATCAGATGCTTTAACTCATGAGATTGTCAGTCACAAACATGCAAGCAACATAAAAGTTATTGAACACAATTAAAGTCAACTCTGCTGTGGTATAGCACTGTTGGCTCTCTAAGTGCTTTGAAATGATGATGTATGAGGTAGATGTTGCATATTAAATAAAGATATTTAAATGATAAAGCCCCCTTTAGTGAGAGCTGATGAATGTTAAATGTTACAAGCCACAAGACGGTGGCATCCATCATCTTCACATATTATCGGAGTCAATGATGGGGCAGCCTCACTGGTGACAGATAGACTGCTGCATTATTATCCCTTATTTCCAGAGTCACTGAACAAACCATTCAACTCCTCAGGCATTATTTTTAACTTTGCATTGAATTAGCAACTTTTTCCTCCCTACCAAGGCAAGATGGATTGATTTTTGTCTTTGCATCAGTGGAGAGAGAGAATGGATTTGAGGTAACTAAAGGAGAAGAGGTTTGTTTTCATCTAGGGGGAAAAAAAATCAACTTCCTCTTACTGGCAACAAATGTAAAATTGTGATATGGGGAAAGAACAGCAATGAAACAGTAAGCACACAATAATGGCTTTTCTTTGCACTTAGATAAAAGCTGAATTTTTGATGTGCACAGTATATTTTAATAAAATTTTATATACTATGTTTTATACACTTATTGGCTATTCCATAATAATGTGTGTGCTAACAGTAAAATTGCTCTTAAATTTATGTGTGTTATTTATATGTTCCCACGTAACAATGCTTTTTGTTGTAAAAAATATTCTGTTTATTAATGTAACTTTACAACCACTGCATCCAAGATCCGTGGTAAATTAATGACATTTTTATTATTTTATAGTGTCATTAAATTTTTACTGATCACTCCATCAAACAGAGGCAGTAAAGACCATAATGTAAACTGGGACACTTAGATCAGGCAGCAGGAAGACATTCCATATAGTCTGAAGAAAACTGCTAGCAATAAATGATATTTATACCATCTTTAAGCATGTGAGAATACTTGGATAAGTTTGGCAAAACTGTTTCAGTAGTAGAGTGGATTGTGTACTTAAATAACAGTTTGCTTGCAGTGAGACAAGTCTTTTTCAAACCATATGCAAGATGACTGACTGCAGCCATCTCCCGAAAAACAGCACATGAAATGTAATGATGTACTGGGCACCTTCCCTTCTGGGTTACCAAAACTGACCAGCCTATACCATGTCACAGATTATTTCAACACGATCCCCTTTCCACACACTGACGTGGAAAATGGTACCTACTGAGAGAGGTTTTTTGTTTGTTGCTTTACTAACAAATATATTTCATTTGACAGGTATTCACGACTGGACAATGATGTGATGTATTTTATTCCAATAGTCTAAATGAGAGGTATTTTACCAATCTTTAGTCAAAGCCTTTTTCTAAAGAATGTCTGTCACCGAACATACACCCAAGGGGTCATTAGCCATATTTCAGTTTAAATGTGTAAAAAAAAAAAATCTCCTGTTACTTTCACATATAAAATACGTTGTAACATTATTATTAGGTTACTCTACACTGGCTCTCAAATATTCCACTTATAGGATATTTGTGTATGCATTTTATACAAATACATACACATTTTATATAGATATATGATAGTAAATAGAAATTTCCACGCTCATGTAATCACAAATTTAAAACGACCCATCTCCTAAGTGGAATTTTGGCATGAATCTTTTTAAGTAACTAAGAATTTTGTTGTTATATCTTATAATACACATTTAAATATTAAAGAGTTTAAAACATCTTTCAAATGTGTAATAACAAGGAATTTTGCAGGAAAAGTTAATACTACAGCGCCACCAGTCATGTATCTGTGTATTCCTGAAGCACAGTTTTCTTTTTTTTTTTTAATGTTTTCAATTTTATTAGTTTTTTTTTTTCTTTTTAAGAGGCATGTTTTATTTATTTATTTGTTTGTTTGTTTTGTTTATACATGCACTGGGTACAGTCAGAAGCGCGGGAGGGTGAGAGAATTCACCAGAGCCAGAGTGGGGAGCAGAGCAGGCAGAAGGACCGAAGTACACTGCTGAGGGGAGCAGCGGGCGGCAGGAGAGG